AGAGGTGGAACTGTGTAGAAGCTGTCACTAGGAGTGGAAAATGTGGTGAGTGTAAACTAGGAGTGGAACTGTGTTAGAGCTGTCAAACCTAGAGGTGGGAACTGTGTTAGAGCTGTCAACTAGAGTGGAACTGTGTTTAGAGCTGCAAATAGAGGTGGAACTGTTGTTAGAGCGTCAACTAGAGGTGGAAACCTGTGTTAGAGCTGTCAACTAGAGGTGGAAACTGTGTTAGAGCTGTCAAAAAAAACTAGAGGTTGGGGAACTGTGTTAGAGCTGTCAACTAGAGGTGGAACTGTGTTAGAGCTGTCAACTAGAGGGTGGACTGTGTTAGAGCTGTCAACTAGGAGTGGAAGGAAACTGTGTTAGAGCTGTCAATAGAGGTGGAAACGGTGTAGAGCGTCAGCTAGAGGTGGAATGTTGTTAGAGCTGTCAACTAGAGGTGGAACGGGTTAGAGCTGTCAAAACTAGGAGTGGAACTGTGTTAGAGCTGTCAACTAGAGGTGGGAAACTGTGTTAGATCTGTCACAGGAGTGGAACTGTGTTAGAGCTGCAAACTAGAGGTGGAAAACTGTGTTAGAGTGTCAACTAGAGGTGGAAATGTTTTAGAGCGCACTAGAGGGAATGTGTTGAGATGTAAACTAGGAGGTGGAAACTGTGTTAGAGCTGCCCAACTAGAGGATGGATACTGTGTTAGAGCTGTCTACTAGGAGTGGAACTGTTTAGAGCGGGCAACTAGAGGTGGAACGTGTTTAGAGCTGTCAACTAGAGGTGGGAACTGTGTTGAGCTGTCAACTAGGAGTGGAACTGTGTAGAGCTGTTCAACTAGAGGTGGAAACTGTGTTAGAGATGTTCAACTAGAGGTGGAACTGTGTTAGGCTGTCAAATAGAGGTGGAAACTGTGTTTAGAGCTGTCAACTAGAGGTGGAAACTGTGTTAGAGCTGTCAACTAGGAGTGGGAAAACTGGTTAGAGCTGTCAACTAGGAGTGGAACTGTGTTAGCGCCTTGGAACTAGAGGGGAACTGGTTAGAGCTGTCAACTGGAGTGGAACGTTTAGAGCTGTCAAACTTAGGAGTGGAACTGGTTAGAGCTTGTACAAACTAGAGTGGGAACTGTGGTTAGAGCAGTGTCAACAAGAGGTGGAACTGTGGTTAGGCGTGTCAACTAGAGGTGGAACTGGGTTAGATCTGTCAACTAGGAGTGGAAAACTGTGTTAGTTACGAGGGCTTGGTCAACTAGAGGGGAACTGTGTTAGAGCTGTCAACTTAAGGTGGAACTGTGTTAGAGCTGAACACTAGAAGGTGGAACTTGTTATGTTAGAGCTGTCAAACTAGAGGTGGAACTGTGTTAGAGCTGTCAACTGGAGGGAAAACTGGGTTAGAGCTGTCAAATAGGAGTGGAACTGTGTTAGAGCTGTAAACTAAGAGGTGGAACTGTGTTAGAGCTGTCAACTAGGGGTGGAACTGTTGTTAGAGCTGTCAAATAGGGAGTGGGTGGAACTGTGGTAGAGCTGTCAACTAGAGGTGAAACTGTGTTAGAGCCTGTCAACTAAGAGTGTGGGAAAACTGTGTTAGAGCAGTCAAACTAGAGATGGAACGGTGGTAGAGCTGTTCAACTCGAGGGGGGGTGGAACTGTGTTAGAGCTGTCAACTAGCGGCTGGAAACCGTGTTAGAGCTGTCAACTAGAGGTGGAAAGGAAACTGTGTTAGAGCTGTCAATCTATGAGTGAACTGGGTTAGAGCTGTCAACTAGGAGTGGAACTGTGTTATAGAGCTGTCAGCTAGAGTTGGAAACTGTGTTAGAGCTGTCAACTATAGGTGGTGGGATTGGAACTGTGTTAGAGCTGTCAACTAGGAGTGGAACTGGGTTTAGAGACTGTCAACTAGAGGTGGACGGTGTAGAGCTGTCAACTAGGAGTGGAACTGTGTTAGAGCTGTCAACTAGAGGTGGAAAGTGTTAGAGCTGTCAACTAGAGGTGGGGAACTGTGTTAGAAGCTGTCAAATAGGAGTGGAACTGTGTTAGAGCTGTCAACTCTAGAGGTGGAACGTGTAGAGCTGTCGGGCAAATAAGGTGGAACTGTGTTAGAGCTGTCTACTAGGAGTTGGGAACTGTGTTTAGAGCTGTCAAACTAAGAGGTGGAACTGTGTTAGAGCTGTCAATAGAGGTGGAAATTGTTAGAGCTGTCATAGGAGTGGGGGAAACTGTGTTAGAGCTGTCAATAGAGGTGGAAACTGTGTTAGAATCTGTCAACTAGAGGTGGGAACTGTGTTCGAGCTGTCAACTAGAGGGGAACTGTGTTAGAGCTGTCAACAGAGGTGTGAACTGTCTGTTAGAGCTGTCAAACTAGGAGTGGAACTGTGTTAGAGCTGTCTCAACTAGGAGTGGAGCTGTGTTAGAGCTGGTCAATAGAGGTTGAACTGTGTTAGAGCTGTCAACTAGGGAGTGGAACGTGTTAGAACGGTCAACTGGAGTGGAACTGTGTTAGAAGATGTCAACTAGAGTGGAACTGGTTAGAGCTGTCAAATAGAGGGTGGTGGAACGTGGTTAGAGCTGCAACAGGGTGGAACTGGGTTAGAGCTGTCAAACTAGGGTGGACTGTGTTAGAGCTGTCAACTAGAGGAGAACTGTTGTTTAGAGCGGTTCAACTAGAGGTGGAACTGTGTTAGACTGTCACCTAGAGGTGGAACTGTGTTAGAAGCTGTCAACTTAGACGGTGGAATGTGTTAGAGCTGTCAACTGGAGTGGAAACTGTGTTAGAGCTGTCAACTAGGAGGGACTGGTGTTAGAGCTGTAAAATAGATGGTGGAACTGTGTTAGAGCTGTCAACTAGGATGGAACGTGTTAGAGCTGTCAACTAGGAGTGGAAACTGTGGGTTAGAGCTGTCAAACTAGAGGGTGGAACTGGGTTAGAGCTGCAACTAGAGGGGGGGAACTGTAGTTAGAAGCATCCAACTAGAGGTGGAACTGGTTTAGAGCTGTCAACTAGAGGTGGTGGATGGAAACGTGTTAGAGCTGTAACTAGAGGTGGAACTGTGTTAGAAAGCTGGTCAACTAGGAGTGGAACGGTGTTAGAGCTGTAACTAGGAGGGACTGTGTTAGAGCTGTCAAACTAGAGGTGGAACTGTGTTAGAGCTGTAAAATAGGAGTTGGGAACTGTGTTAGAGCTGTTCAACTAGAGTGGAACGTGTTAGAGCTGTCAAATAGAGTGGAACTGTGTTAGAGCTGTCAACTAGAGGTGGTGGAACTGTGTAGAGCTGTCACCTAGAGGTGGAACTGTGTTAGAGCTGTCAAACTAGGAGTGGAACTGGTTAGAGCTGTTCAATAGAGGTGGAATGTGTTAGAGCTGTTTCAACTAGAGGTGGAACTGTGTTAGAGCTGTCAACTAGAGGTGGACTGGGGTAGAGCTGTCTCAACTAGAGGGGAACTGTGTTAGAGCTGTCAAATAGGAGTGGACCTGTGTTAGAGCTGTCAAACTAGGGTGGAACTGTGTTAGAGCTGATCAACTAGAGGTGGAACTGTGGTAGAGCTGTTCAATAGGAGTGGAACTGTGTTAGAGCTGTCAACTAGGAGTGGAAATAAACTGTGTTAGAGCGTCAAAATAGAGGGTGGAACGTGTAGAGCTGGCAACTAGAGGTGGACTGTGGTAGAGCAGTAACTGAGATGGGGAACTGTGTTAGAGCTGCAATAGAAGGTGGAACTGTGGTAGAGCTGTCAACAGAGGTGTGGGAACACGGTTAGAGCTGTCAACTAGAGGGGAACGGTTTAGAGTGTCAACTAGGGATTGGAAATGTGTTAGAGATTGTCAACTAGGAGTTGGAACTTGTGTTAGAGCTGTTCAACTAGAGAGTGTAACTGTGTAGAGCTGTAATAGAGGTGGAATGTGTTAGAGTGTCAATAGAGGTGGAACTGTTGTGAGAGCTGTCAACTAGAGGTGGATGGGAACTGTGTTAGAGCGTCAAATAGAGGGGGAACTGTGTAGAGCTGTCAACTTAGAGGTGGAACCGTGTGTTAGAGCTGGTTCAACTAGAGGGGGCACTGTGTTAGAGCTGTCAACTAGAGGTGTGGAACGTGTTAGAGCTGTTCACTAGAGGTTGTGGGAACTGGTAGAGCTGTTCAACTAGAGGGGGTGGAAAACTGTGTTAGAGCTGCAAATAGGAGTGGAAACTGTGTTAGAAGCTGCTCAAACAGAGGTGGAACTGTGTTAGAGCTGTCAGCTAGAGGGGGAACTGTGTTAGAGCTTGTCAAACTGAGGTGGAACTGGTTAGAGCGGTCAACTAGGAGTGGAAACTGTGTTAGAGCTGTCAAAAGAGAGGTGGAACTTCCGTGTGTTAGAGCTGTAATAGGAGTGGAACTGTGTTAGAGCTGTCAAACTAGAGGTGGGAACTGTGTTAGAGCTGCATAGAGGTGGAACTGTGTTAGGAGCTGTCAAATAGGAGTGGAAACTGTGTTAGAGTGGCAACTAGAGGTGGAAAATGTGTTAGAGCTGTCAACTAGAGGTGGACCGCTGTTAGAGCTGTCTACTAGGAGTGGAACGTGTTAGAGCTGTCAACTAGAGGTGGAACTGTGTTAGAGCTGTCAACGAGAGGTGGAACTTTGGAGAGCTGTTCAACTAGGAGGTGGAACTGTGTAGAGCTGTCAATGAGGTGGGAACTGTGTTAGAGCGTCAAACTATAGGTGGAACGTGTTAGAGATATGTTCAACTAGAGGGGAACTGTGTTAGAGCTGTCAACTAGAGTGGACGTGTTTAGGAGTGTCAACTAGGAGGGGAACTGTGTAGAGCCTGTTCACTAGGAGTGGAAACGGTGTTAAGAGCTGTCCACTAGAGGATGGAACGTGTTAAGTGCACTAGGAAGTGGCAAACGTGTTAGAGCTGTCAACTAGAGTGGAACTGTGTAGAGCTGTCAACTAGAGGTGGAACTGTGTTAGAGCTGTCAACTAGAGGTGGTGGATAGGACTGTGTTAGAGCTGTCAACTAGAGGTGGAACTGTGTTAGAGCTGTCAACTAGGAACGTGGAAACTGTGTGTGTTAGAGCTGTCAACTAGAGGTGGAACTGTGTTAGAGCTGTCAACTAGAGGTGGAACTGTGTTAGAGCTGTCAACTAGAGGTGGAACTGTGTTAGAGCTGTCAACTAGAGGTGGAACTGTGTTAGAGCTGTCAACTAGGAGTGGAACTGTGTTAGAGCTGTCAACTAGGAGTGGAACTGTGTTAGAGCTGTCAACTAGAGGTGGAACTGTGTTAGAGCTGTCAACTAGGAGTGGAACTGTGTTAGAGCTGTCAACTAGGAGTGGAACTGTGTTAGAGCTGTCAACTAGAGGTGGAACTGTGTTAGAGCTGTCAACTAGAGGTGGAACTGTGTTAGAGCAGTCAACTAGAGATGGAACTGTGTTAGAGCTGTCAACTAGAGGTGGAACTGTGTTAGAGCTGTCAACTAGAGGTGGAACTGTGTTAGAGCTGTCAACTAGAGGTGGAACTGTGTTAGAGCTGTCAACTAGAGGTGGAACTGTGTTAGAGCTGTCAACTAGAGGTGGAACTGTGTTAGAGCTGTCAACACTGCCTTTCTGAAGACAAACAATGTATACGAAATGCTTCAGTCTGGTTTTAGACCCCATCATAGCACTGAGACTGCACTTGTGAAGGTGGTAAATGACCTTTTAATGGCGTCAGACCGAGGCTCTGCATCTGTCCTCGTGCTACTAGACCTTAGTGCTGCCTTTGACACCATCGATCACCACATTCTTTTGGAGAGACTGGAAACCCAAATTGGTCTACACGGACAAGTTCTGGCCTGGTTTAGATCTTACCTGTCGGAAAGATATCAGTTTGTCTCTGTGAATGGTCTGTCCTCCGACAAATCAACTGTACATTTCGGTGTTCCTCAAGGTTCCGTTTTAGGACCACTATTGTTTTCACTATATATTTACCTCTTGGGGATGTTATTCGAAAACATAATGTTAACTTTCACTGCTATGCGGATGACACAAAGCTGTACATTTCAATGAAACATGGTGAAGCCCCAAAATTGCCCTCGCTAGAAGCCTGTTGTTTCAGACATAAGGAAGTGGATGGCTGAAAACTTTTTACTTTTAAACTCGGACAAAACAGAGATGCTTGTTCTAGGTCCCAAGAAACAAAGAGATCTTCTGTTAAATCTGACAATTCATCTTGATGGTTGTAAAGTCGTCTCAAATAAAACTGTGAAGGACCTCGGCGTTACTCTTGACCCTGATCTCTCTTTTGACGAACATATCAAGACTGTTTCAAGGACAGCTTTTTTCCATCTACGTAACATTGCAAAAATCAGAAATTTTCTGTCCAAAAATGATGCAGAAAAAATTAATCCATGCATTTGTTACTTCTAGGTTAGACTACTGCAATGCTCTATTTTCCGGCTACCCGGATAAAGCACTAAATAAAACTTCAGTTAGTGCTAAATACGGCTGCTAGAATCCTGACTAGAACCAAGAAATTTGATCATATTACTCCAGTGCTAGCTTCCCTACACTGGCTTCCTGTTAAGGCAAGGGCTGATTTCAAGGTTTTAACTGTTAACCTATAAAGCGTTACATGGGCTTGCTCCTACCTATCTTTCCGAGTTGGTCCTGCCGTACATACCAATACGTACGCTACGGTCACAAGACGCAGGCCTCCTAATTGTCCCTAGAATTTCTAAGCAAACAGCGGGAGGCAGGGCTTTCTCCTATAGATCCCATTTTTATGGAACAGTCTGCCTACCCATGTGAGAGACGCAGACTCGGTTCTCAACCTTTAAGTCTTTACTGAAGACTTATCTCTTCAGTAGGTCATATGATTGAGTGTAGTCTGGCCCAGGAGTGTGAAGGTGAACGGAAAGGCTCTGGAGCAACGAACAGCCCTTGCTGTCTCTGCCAGGCCGGTTCCCCTCTCCACTGGGGTTCTCTGCCTCTAACCCTGTTGCAGGGGCTGAGTCCACTGGCTTGCTGGTGCTCTTTCATGCCGTCCCTGGGAGGGGTGCGTCACTTGAGTGGGTTGAGTTACTGACGTGATCTTCATGTCTGGGTTGGCACCCCCCCCCTTGGTTTGTGCTGTTGGTGGAGACCTCTGTGGGGCTATACTCGGCCTTGTCTCAGGATTGTAAGTTGGTGGTTGAGGATATCCCTCTAGTGGGTGCGGGGGCTTGTGCTTTTGGCAGAGTGGGTGGGGTTATATCCTTCCTGTTTGGCCCTGTCCGGGGGTTTCTTCGGATGGGGCCACAGTGTCTCCGGACCGCTCCTGTCTCAGCCTCCAGTATTTATGCTGCAGTAGTTTATGTGTCGGGGGGCTGGGGTTAGTTGGTTATACCTGGAGTACTTCTCCTGTCTTATCAGTGTCCTGTGTGAATTTAAGTATGCTCTCTCTAATTCTCTCGTTCTCTCTTTCTCTCTGAGAACCTGAGCCCTAGGACCATACGTCAGGACTACCGGGCATGATGACACCTTGCTGTCCCCAGTCTGCCTGGCCTTGCTGCTATTCCAGTTTCAACTGTTCTGCCTGCGGTTACGAAACCCCTACCTGTCCCAGACCTGCTGTTTTTCAACTCTTAATGATCGGCTATGAAAAGCCAACTGAGATTTATTCCTGATTATTATTTGACCAGCTTGTCACTTATGAACATTTTTGAACATCTTGGCATGGTTCTGTTATAATCTTCACCCGGCACAGCCAGAAGAGGACTGGCCACCCCTCATAGCCTGGTTCCTCTCTAGGTTTCTTCCTAGGTTTTCGCCTTTCTAGGGAGTTTTTCCTAGCCACCGTGCTTCTACACCTGCATTACTAGCTGTTTGGGGTTTTAGGCTGGGTTTCTGTACAGCACTTCGAGATATTAGCTGATGTAAGAAGGGCTATATAAAATAAAATTGATTGATTGATTGAACTAGAGGTGGAACTGTGTTAGAGCTGTCAACTAGAGGTGGAACCGTGTTAGAGCTGTCAACTAGAGGTGGAACTGTGTTAGAGCTGTCAACTAGAGGTGGAACTGTGTTAGAGCTGTCAACTAGAGGTGGAACTGTGTTAGAGCTGTCAACTAGAGGTGGAACTGTGTTAGAGCTGTCAACTAGGAGTGGAACTGTGTTAGAGCTGTCAACTAGAGGTGGAACTGTGTTAGAGCTGTCAACTAGAGGTGGAACTGTGTTAGAGCTGTCAACTAGAGGTGGAACTGTGTTAGAGCTGTCAACTAGGAGTGGAACTGTGTTAGAGCTGTCAACTAGAGGTGAAACTGTGTTAGAGCTGTCAACTAGAGGTTGGAACTGTGTTAGAGCTGTCAACAGGAGTGGAACTGTGTTAGAGCTGTCAAATAGAGGTGGAACTGTGTTAGAGCTGTCAACTAGAGGTGGAACTGTGTTAGAGCTGTCTACTAGGAGTGGAACTGTGTTAGAGCTGTCAACTAGGAGTGGACGGTGTTAGAGCTGTCAAACTAGAGGTGGAACTGTGTTAGAGCTGTCAAACTAGAGGTGGAACTGTGTTAGAGCTGTCAACTAGAGGTGGAACTGTGTTAGAGCTGTCAACTAGAGGTGGAACTGTGTTAGAGCTGTCAACTAGAGGTGGAACTGTGTTAGAGCTGTCAACTAGGAGTGGAACTTGTGTTAGAGCTGTCAACTAGAGGGGGAATGGAAAGGAAAACTGTGTAGAGCTGTCAAACTAGAGGTGGAACTGTGTTAGAGCTGTCAACTAGAGGTGAACTGTGTTAGAGCTGTCAACTAGAGGTGGAACTGTGTTTAGAGCTGTCAACTAGAGTGGACTGTTGTAGAGCTGTCAACTAGAGGTGGGGAACTGTGTTCGAGCTGTCAACTAGAGGTGGAACTGTGTTTAGAGCTGTCAACTAGAGGTGGAACTGTGTTAGAGCTGTCAACTAGGAGTGGAACTGTGTTAGAAGCTGTCAACTAGAGGTGGAACTGTGTTAGAGCTGTCAACTAGAGGTGGAACTGTGTTAGAGCTGTCACCTAGAGGTGGAACTTGTGTTAGAGCTGTCAACTAGAGGTGGAACTGTGTTAGAGCTGTCAACTAGAGGTTGGAACTGTGTTAGAGCTGTCAACTAGGAGTGGAACTGTGTTAGAGCTGTCAACTAGAGGTGGAACTGTGTTAGAGCTGTCAACTAGAGGTGGAACTGTGTTAGAGCTGTCAACTAGAGGTGGAACTGTGTTTAGAGCTGTCAACTAGAAGGTGGAACTGTGTTAGAGCTGTCAACTAGGAGTGGAACTTGTTAGAGCTGTCAAACTAGGAGTGGAACTGTGTTAGAGCTGTCAACTAGAGGTGGAACTGTGTTTTAGAGCTGTCAACTAGGAGTGGAACTGTGTTAGAGCTGTCCAACTAGGAGTGGAACTGTGTTAGAGCTGTCAACTAGAGGTGGAACTGTGTTAGAGCTGTCAACTAGAGGTGGAACTGTGTTAGAGCTGTCAAACTAGAGGTGGAACTGTGTTAGAGCTGGTCAAACTAGAGGTGGAACTGTGTTAGAAGCTGTCAACTAGAGGTGGAACCGGTGTTAGAGCTGTCAACTAGAGGTGGAACTGTGTTAGAGCTGTCAAACTAGAGGTGGAACTGTGTTAGAGCTGTCAACTAGAGGTGGAACTGTGTTAGAGCTGTTCAACTAGAGGTGGAAACTGTGTTAGAGCTGTCAACTAGGGAGTGGAACTGTGTTAAAAGCTGTCAACTAGAGGGGAACTGTGTTAGAGCTGTCAACTAGAGTGGAACTGTGTTAGAGCTGTCAACTAGAGGTGGAACTGGTGTTAGAGCTGTCAACTAGGAGTGGAACTGTGTTAGAGCTGTCACTAGAGGTGGAACTGTGTTAGAGCTGTCAACTAGGAGTGGAACGTGTTAGAGCTGTCAACTAGAGGGTGGGAATCTGTGTTAGAGCTGTCAACTAGAGGTGGAACTGTGTTAGAGCTGTCAACTAGGAGTGGAAACTGTGTTTAGAGCTGTCAACTAGAGGTGGAACTGTGTTAGAGCTGTCAACTAGAGGTAGAACTGTGTTAGAGCTGTCTCTAGAGTGGAACTGGTAAGGCTGCATAGGAGTGGAACTGTGTTAGAGCTGTCAAACTAGAGGTGGAACTGTGTTAGAGCTGTTCAACTAGAGGTGGAACTGTGTTAGAGCTGTCAACTAGAGGTGGAAACGTGTTGTTAGAGCTGTCAACTAGAGGTGGAAAACGTGTGTTAGAGCTGTAACTAGAGGGAACTGTTTAGACTGTCACTAGAGTGGAACTGTGTTAGAGCTGTCAATAGAGGTGGAACTGTGTTGAGCTGTCAACTAGAGGTGGAACTGTGTTAGAGCTGTCAACTAGAGGTGGAACTGTGTTAGAGCTGTCAACTAGAGGTGGAACTGTGTTAGAGCTGTCAATAGGAGTGGAACTGTGTTAGAGCTGTCAACTAGAGGGTGGAACTGTGTTGTAGGAGTGTCAACTAGAGGTGGAACTGTGTTAGAGCTGTCAACTAGAAGGTGGAACTGTGTTAGAGCTGTCAACTAGAGTGGAACTGTGTTAGAGCTGTCAACTAGAGGTGGAACTGTGTTAGAGCTGTCAAACTAGAGGTGGAAACTGTGTAGAGCTGTCAACTAGAGGTGTGGAAACTGTGTTAGAGCTGTCAACTAGAGGTGGAACTGTTGTTAGAGCTGTCAACTAGAGGTGGAACTGTGTTAGAGCTGTCAACTAGGAGTGGAACTGTGTTAGAGCTGTCAACTAGAGGTGGAAAAGTGTTAGAGCTGTCAACTAGAGGTGGGAAATGTGTTTGAGCTGTCAACTAGAGGTGGACTGTGTTAGAGCTGTCAACAGGGTGGAACTGTGTTAGAGCTGTCAACTAGGAGTGGAACTGTGTTAGAGCTGTCAATAGAGGGGGAACTGTGTAGAGCTGTCAAACCCAGGAGGGGAACTGTGTTGAGCTGTCAACTAGGAGTGGAACTGTGTTAGAGCTGTCAACTAGAGGGGGAACTGTGTTAGAGCTGTCAACTAGAGGTGGAACTTTTGTTTAGAGCTGTCAACTAGGGTGGAAAATGGTGTTAGAGCTGTCAAAACTAGAGTGGAGGGAAATGTGTTAGAGCTGTCAACTAGAGTGGAACCGTGTTAGAGCTGTCAACTGAGGTGGAACGTGGTTTTGAGCTGTCAACTAAAAGGTGGAACTGTGTTGAGCTGTCAACTAGAGGTGGAACTGTGTTAGAGCTGTCAACTAGAGGTGGAACTGTGTTAGAGCTGTCAACTAGGGGGGAACGTGTTAGAGCTGTCAACTAGGGTTTGGAACTGTGTGTTAGAGCTGTCAACTAGAGGTGGAACCCGTGTTTGAGCTGTCAACTAGAGGTGGAACTGTGTTAGAGCTGTCAACTAGGGGGTGGATGTGTTAGAGCTGTCCAACTTTGGGGGTGGAAACGTGTTAGAGCTGTCAATAGAGTGGACTTGTTAGAGTGGGAACTAGAGGGGGAACTGTGTTTGAGCTGTCAACTAGAGTGGAACTGGTAGAGCTTGTAACAGAGTGGGAAATGGGGTTTGTAGTGTCAAAGGGTGGAACTGTGTTAGAGCTGTCAACAGAGGTGCGTTGGCCCTACGGGTGGATTTAGAGCTGCAACTAATGACTGGTTAGAAGCTGTCAACTGGGGTGGAAGGTTTTTAGAGTGTCAACTAGGGTGGAACTTTGTTTAGAGGGCTGTTCCAACTAGAGTGGGTTTGGGAACTTGGGGTTAAGCTGTCCAAATTTTGAGTGGTGGAACTGTGTTTAGAGCTTTTTGTCAACTAGGGAAGTGGAACTGGGGTGGGTTAGGAGGA